AAGTGACTGTCATGTGATGTTACGCTGACTAAACCCCCTCGCTCCCCTCTCTCTCGTCGCCGGTTCTGTCAACGACGAATTACCGTGTTATCGGTCGACCGACGGTGGTTGATAAGGATGACAATTCGGACTCGGTAATGTTAGTCATTGATGGGACAAAAACGTGGTTCTGATCAATGCTGGTAGCCAAGACATAGCAGACGTCGACAGAAAAAGGCCTACAATAACGAATCTGACCGTGAAACTTGGCTTCAAATTAAAAATACGCACTTTATGATCATTTTTCAGGTCATTTCGGTGTTCCAAAGAACAATAGGTGAACTCTTTCTGTTTTGAAAACTCCAGGACCTGTTCAACCATGCGCTCAGCTCCTTTGTGGAACCCGTATGGTATGTGACAGTAGATGGTTGGCCTTGGTAGAGGCAGGGTATGAATAGGGGCGCTTTACGGTAACCATTAATCCTCTGAACAGCTCTAAGGCCTACCAACCAGAGAAAAATGGGATGCATTCAGTCGGATTGGTCCCAAAATCGACGTTCGAAGCACGTTCGAATTCTCGGGGCCAGTTGTTCTTACCTGAGCTCCATCCTCCCACTCTACCTTATTCATCACCCTTTTTTTTACTAAAAAAATGTGTGAATATCTGAACCAAATAGGGTTTTCTACACATTAAACAGTAAACGGTAGGGAGCGGTAGCACGAGATATCCCCTATAGGAGCTTCAAAATAAAAAGTGACTCTTGAGATTCGTCACAAACCGGGTTCCGTTTCAGAAGGGCACCAATATCTCACTCATGATGTCGAGCTAAAATTGAATAAGCACCGTTATGATTTCTAGGAGACAACGTTATCAATTGAATCGCTTATACAAAAGTACAGCCTATCCTTGGTCCTCAGGTGGGGTGCCTTCAGCTCCTTTGGCCGCAGCAGCATATCCGTCCATAGGACTATCCTGTTACCCGGTCATCTTACTTCACAATGTATTGCGCTGTAATTTGCATGGTGCCCTGTCCTGAAAAAGCCCTCTCTAGAAGGAAAAAAGCGAAAAAAGGCCAGTTTGGCCATGAAGGCCAGAAGGGCCTACGGTTCAGAACCAGTCACGCCAGTTAGGTCTTCTCCTCTACCCTTCTCCCAACTCCCTAACTGATCAAGTTTCCGTGTTACTAACGTTTTTGAATAAATGTTTTCCAAATCTTTCGGTAATAAGCGGCTTGTCCTAGTGGAGTTATTCATCAGATGGCGTCCAGCTTTTCTGTTTCTAGCTCCGGTGAGATCTTTAACCATTGACCCTTCCTAGAACTCTGTAGGTTGATCCAGCAGAACTCTCTCACTGCATGAATCTGTCAAAACTAAGCAGGAAGTCCAACAATAGTAATATTCTCCAAGAGTGTCTCCTTCACGATGGATGAATACATTCTAGCGTTTTAGCCAGATACTCCCCAGCAATGTACTTGCACATCCTCTACAAGGACAGGTTTCAATGTCAGTGAAAGAATTTGTAGAACTGAGTAAAATTTGTTTTTAGGTTTTTACCCAGTTCTTCCGCTAGGGGCGCTAATAGCTCAAGTGCGCTTTCGTAGCAGTTCCGTAACATCTGTCGATTAGCCAACTCTACCTGTAACAATACTCAAGAGGGAAGTGTCGAACTTGAGCCCATCCAGATCGAGTATGTAGATGACGGATGCCTGTAATGAATCCGTTGAATCTAAGAGGATTCGAGGCCGAACATCGGCGTTGTCACCTGCTTGCCAGTTTTCGCTTCAAGTTCATTGAGTGCGGCCAGCATTTTCTCTTGTAGACGAAATCGTTGAATAAGAAAATCGGACAACTGGACCGATTTCAGAATTCCCACCAAATCGATTCGTCCAGCACATTCGATCACCAACAGGGTATTATCCATACCTGTTTTACCTATAAAAAAGAGGTGATTGTCCTTCTTTTTGCGGTAAATCCTAATCGAACGTCGCTAGAACCCACCAACGAGTCCAATAGGGAAATACTGTTTGAGAATTTGATGTTCGGGAACTTGATCCGAATGGTCGAGATCGTAAAATTTTCTAAACTTTAAATGACGTCGAAGTTGAGCCGAAGCCTCCTCCATATCGAAACCATAGCCCTAAAAAGTAAAGGATCAAAAATGGGAAGCGAAAGGCAAATGGATGAAGTAAGAACCTGAGCCCATCGTAGTAGGTTAAAGTCGGTATTGTATTTTGCCGTCAAAAGGTCGCTGTTCTGAAAATAGTGAATGTGATCTGGAAGATGGAGAGGCGTCATGGTCTTGGTGTGATTCCAAACAGAACCGAAAAAATGGAACTATTGTCTCACCTCGCTACGTAACCGTTTAACTGCTTGTGCCTCTTCCTTATTCATTACCAAAGTGAGTAACTAAAATAATCCAGTGATAAAAGAAAGTCAACGTGGAAAATGGACCTTTCAGACGGAACAGTGTCATAATCTTATCCGATAAAGAGTAGCATAGAACTTAAGCAAAGGAAAAAACTCATCACAGCAACTGATCGTCAACCAGAATGAGAGAAAAAGTGTGTTTTTCCAATATTTAATAATATTTATTGAACAATTCCATATTTATTTTTACATGCGACCCCTGTTTGGGTCAGGCTATGCAATCTAACCAATAGGCATGAACTTATGGCTGAGCGAGGTCAATAGCGAAATAGAAGGCTGGAGGATAAGTATGAAAGGAGAGAAGCCTGGAAAGCTAGCGTGGATCAGAACTGGAATTCCGACAGGCAGATTTTAACCCTTACTAGGCCGGTGGTGTTTTGTGAATATCAACTAACTGGTTCTAGAGACTCTATCTCTACTTTCACCTATATTCGTCTATTTTCGCAGTTTCTGACTTCCATGTTAAGGAACACATTGCGAAGAAAGAAACCTCGGAGTGAGAAAGGGTAGATATGCCCATCTACGAAATAGGAGATTTCTATCGTCTCCCATTCTTCAACCACAGCCTGCCACTACTCCTCTACCTCTAATACTTCGGTTTGACCCCAGGGTCAGTCCCAGCGTAAAAACACCGCATCAGTAAAAATGGAAGGGAAGAGAGTTGCAAAGGGTTAGATAATTCAGCTCAAACCTGAAAATCATTGGATAACTAAGGAAGGCCTTATCGAAGCGTTTTCTAACAAGACGGGAGTTCATAACGTGGCTCAATGATTTTCCTCATTGGTTTTTACCGGCATAAATATTGAAAGCAATGTGACGACAGACCAGTCCAAACTTACTTTTGAACCTTGAGTTCCAGTGCAGTAGGATACAAAGGGCAAAAAATCAGTAAGGACGCCCTTTTAAACGCATGATAACTTGACCGATGCCCTATTCTGGGTTACGGTAGAGCAACCTTATTTATAAAAAACTGGTTTTTTAGGATTTTTAACTGGTTAGTCGAAAGATTCAGATGAGTTGAGAGACTTGTGAGTATCACTCAACCGTAAGTCAGACCAGAAGGACAAGGAACGCAGGCCCGTGAGACCGCTCACGACTGCTGCCCGAAGTAGACTGACCCAGGTACAATTGTAAACGACAGAGAATGAGTGAAACACTTTTGAAGTTTGCCAAACCGAGTAGAGCGAAGTGAACAGCGTAGAGAATGCTCAAAACGGGATTGAGTAACTCGTCTCACTTAAGACCATCACGATGGCAGTAGCGAGATAACTGACCAGTTTTCTCCCCCGGTGATCAAAACATCTACGCCCACTAGGGGCAGCCACTGTGCGTCTATGGACACCCTCTGCCATTGAAAGGTTGAATTGGAGCCTTCAGTTAATGATGGAATCACAGAATACATAAAAATGCTTGAAAGGAAGTCTGCTTCTCAGCTATTTTTTGTATTCATTCTAACAGCTATGAGAGAAATCAATTCAATGAGCGTTCGGGTAAGAAAAACCATTTCGGAAAGGTCAGTTCAGTGAGTAGTACGAATGCGTGACGAAGGCTGGTGAAGAACGAGTTGTGATGGACGTTTTAGCCTCATAAGAAGACTATATAACTCCTTAGAATTCGAAAAATGCCCTACGTCACAAACTCGACTTCGATCCACATTCCACCATAAATTTGTGGGTGAATCCCACTCGAAAGGTTCATCGCAAAACCTTCCCTAAAAGTTTCAAACTCCCATTTCGGGATTTCTTGTGCTGACTTGAATTTAAGACAGGCTGAAGCTTGCACCCAGTGAGGGACTGTTGTCGAGTCGACTCCAGGCAGGGCTAAATAAGGATATCCCAAAGGGACTGACTTTCCACGACGGATCAAATATTTTGACGTTTTCAGAAAAGCTATGAGGAACGGTTATCTCCCTCGGTGTCGGCTTCAATGGCTTTCCTATCAAGTTCGGATTTTAAATGTTTTCAAAGATCGCTGAAATAGTCAAATGAGAACCAGCGGATTCGCTGGGCACCCAACACCAACTTCCATTAACACTTGGTGTAGGGGACGCTATGTGAATCTTTGCGACAGCTTGAAGGAACCAGTCGAAGATCAGGTCACTAGCCATGGCGACTACCACCGACTATCTTTTATTGAACAAGTTTAGCGCCATCTATAAACTCCATCAAACGGAAGCATGAATCACCTGACTGACGACTGACATTTTTCAAAAATTGTAAAGTACTTTTACACTTATCAATTAACTTTTGGTAATGCCCTTAATCAGATATGGTTGGTTGGACTTCCTGTCTTGATACGTCCGTTAAATTGACCTAATCAGAAACAGGTACAATAGGATAGGGCACATGCGGAGGACAGCGATCTATTGTTGGTATCTGATAAGAATACGAAGGATTGATGAAGACATAGGCCTTCCGGGATAAGCTGCCTATGCAGTTCCTATTTTCGGCATCATAGTGACGTTAAAGACATCCTCGGCCTATGTCAGGCTTGCGGGAACAGTTTTATTGACGAGTTAGTAATGGCCCTATCCTCCGTAACAAGCCTTGGGATGTTCGATAATGTAAAAGCGGAGGCCCAAGACTGTACAGAATTCGGAAAAAAGAAAGGCAAAGAGAGGAACATGGTAGTTGGATAAGTAAGAGAAACTAGAACTAATGTAGTCTAAAAAAGGAGAAAAAGCAATTCACAGACAATTGCAGTCACACCACAGCCACCCTCACAGACAAACGTAAACCGTGTTAAACCTAATGAGGTGATGAAAAAATTTCTTTTAAATTTTAGGACCTCGCACAGGAATTAACCGCATCGGAAGGCAACGCTGTTGCCTCATATCTTATATTTATACCTGTAGAAGCCATCCAGAGGACTTCGCGAAGTGGGTTTGCGATGGAGAATCTGGGAACATAACTGATCGTGACCTTTCGAAATGTTCAGATAAAGTCTGCCATTTCGAGTCAACCAGCTACCGGATAACCTTGTGCCTGTATAAACCGTTTTTTGTCCTTAGAAACTGGGTAGAAACCGATGTGAGCCCCACTGCATTGGTCGCAGAGGTCCTGGTTACTTTGTCTCTAGATAAACCGGAGTCAACGTCGAATGGAGGACGTTGATGCAATTATCCAAGAAACAACCGAGCACATAAAAGAGAATGAAAAAATTACTAATCAAACACTTCACCAAGTTGGGGAATCCGATATGGAGATAGCTAGTTGATCGCCAGGATACGTAGGAGGGCAGAACCCGATCAGCCCGGCGAAAACGACGTCCTTGACCGCCCTACGATGAGATAGCCAAAGAGTTTTATCAGTCCGAGAGGATATTGGCCGAATTAGCATCAAAAGCGTTCGTTTACAATCGCCTGGTACCGGTTCACCGAACTAGCAAATGTGATAGGCTTGGTTGAGCAGAGCAGAAATCGACCTTCAAACCATACATGTGCTGGCTGCGCCTCCCATCACTACCCCATCCCATCAGTTTAGCACACTTTGGATCGTTTGAATCCAGTCGAAAGTTATTCGAAAACCTTTAGGTATCAGAAAAGAGGCGACTGGTATCTAAAACGGAAGGAATGGAACTGTTATGGTTCACGCGGCATGGGTTGCGAAGAAAAAATGCCTCGCCAGTAAGCCAAATAGGGAAGAAATGGCATTCTGAAGCAATTTAATGAGTGTTTTGAAGTTGCTAACGTCAAAAGTTGTTAATCAACTGCTAAAAACTTACGTCATCCACATTGTAACAGACAAAATACCGTTGCAACAGAGCTATCAAAACGAAAAACACAAAAAAAGACCCTATTACTACGTTTTCTGGAAATCCTGCAATGACAGTACAGGGAAAAAGGAATAGGAACGATGTGATCCCTCAGTTTGGGTTACTTTTTGCCAAACACTTTTTGCCGTCTTCTAATCGTCTGCTGCAGAAACTAATCCGTCGTTGTGACCACAGTACAGCGATAATTTATAGAGAACATTTCACAGACTGCCCCCTTTTTCCATCAGTGTCATAGTGGAGGTCGGCACTTGTTAGGGGAACCAGTTTTTGGTATTCCAACGATGACAATTTTCATAGGGAAAAAGTGTATAATGCTGGAATTACAGGTATGTCGTCGCATTGGGATGAATGTCTGGATAGAAAGGACGATTTCAGCACCGTCCGATGACAGGAGCAGTCGAGTGAATAACGTCGTTTCGAGGCTCCTGTCGTTCCCCTGTTTCAACGCCTTCCCAAGCGATGGGTGTTCGACTGAGGTACGGTAAACGTGTAGAAAAGACGGTTGATAGGCATCCTTAGAAGAGAGAAAAGTCCTAACGCTTCCATCCAGGTGATCGTTGATTGAAATGGGATTGTGACTGTAATGGGGGCAAAAGTGTTTGTATTGAGACGGAATGGTTTCTCACGCGGAACCGATCTATCCCACGAGGCTATTACCTGAATAGAAAAGGCGAGCCAACCGGCAATAAGGAGGGAAGAAATGAATGAATTTGATGATCTGCCCCCTATCT